GTTAATAAAAAAAATCATATATCCTGTTAGATGATAAAAGGTATCTAAATCAAGGATCTCCTACAAATCTTTTAGTTTAAATAAACTAATAAAAAATAGCCTGAAAAAACGTAATCAAAAAATAAAAGTATAACATTACTCACCAGTATTATATTATATTTCTTTATATATTTCTTTATGAAGGAGGCCAAAAGACTTGTTTTTTACGCGGCGTCAGCCATTTTTCTGCTCACATTACTGCCGCCAGACCGTCAATCATCCGGTTTTTCAAACTCAACATCTGTAAAATACCAAATTCGGTTTAATATATTTTACTATTTTGTAACCTTCTATTTTTTACAATTTAAACATGCACCACGTTGACGAGTTCACGACTGTCACGAGCAGTGTTGCCGAATCGAAAATGTAAAATTTCCCATCAGTTAATCCCAAAATTCCCCCTTTATCCACCCACGGTTTTAAAAATTACCCACTTTTTCCACCCACACTAAAAAAATGATGTTTTTTATATAACTATAATCCGGAAAAGCATTCTAGTTAACATGAAATGAAAATGAAAAAATTCAACATATCAGTTGATCTAATGGCTAAATAAACTCAAAGCTGAAGACCAAAGAAAAATTATCTGAAAAATAAAGGCAAAGAAAATTTCAGAGTCCGTGTGACAGCAAAGCTTTCCACCAGAAAACTACTCATTAAAAATTAATCAATAAAACAATTTCAATCATCAAATACTATCAAATAACAACACCACAAAAACATGTCATTAATAATGTCTAAACCAGAGATATCTCCCTTATCTCTGGTCTAAACATAAACCAATGTCATATGTCAAAACATAAAATATGACATAATTTCATATTACTGACCTAGGGTGAGATTACAGAACGTCTGCAACTTTGCAGATCTGCAAATATGGCGGACTTACATGTGCATGTATCAAGTTTTCGTATTCCAAAAAAGTTTTGCAAATTCGCAATATTTATTGTGGTTTATTATCCCCAACAACACTAAACCCAAATCCATTACTATGTTTAAAAACTCGATAATCTGACACCATGAACTGTATTTAATCAAAAGAAACAGAAGATTTCATGGTTGTAGGATGTTATTCTAACCTTCTTAATGGTGGATTTGGATTTAGTGTTGTTAGGGGTAATAAATATTGCGAATTTGCAGATATTTTTTGGATACTTGCATCTGTAAGTCCGCCATATTTGCAGATCTGCAAAGTTGCCTCCACATTTGCAGATCTGCAAAGTTGCAGACGTTCTGTAATCTCACCCCTAGTGTAATAAATAAATATTATCTATTTATTAAAGAAAGGGAAATCCAAGATTAATTCGCCCTAAAGTCATTATGGGAGCCTCATGGGAACAAATTCCCCAAAAATTCCCCAAAAATATTGTATCCACCCAAAATTCCCACCAGAGTCAAAATTTCCACCCAATGGGGAAATTTCCACCCAAACGGCAACACTGGTCACGAGAATCATAAGGATGGAGAAAACAACAATGACAATTGACAATATGACATTGCCAAAACATTTTTTAGTTAAGTACTAGATTGGTATAAATAATTGTACCAGATTTCATAAAAATGTACTAGGATCGGTTTCCTCTCTAGTTGCCTTAGGAATATTATCAATTATTTGGGATTTATTAAGTCTTTACGGTACTTTTACTAGTTTTACTTATATTAATTTCACTGGACGATAGCGGACAATATACTGAATTTCGTTTCTAGCGTACCTGTTACTTTTAGGATATACTAGATCCAGTGCAATTGTACTAGATTTGCAAAATTCATTTCCATTTGCGTTTCGAGGACATCACAATTGGGTCAGACATACGTTAAAAAGAGACAGGCAATAAAATTTTAAATAATTAATGCTAGAAAACGGAACGTTACTAATTATCCAAATCAAAACATAAGGCACCGTAATTTTACCAAAAAAAAAATTATAAACTGCAGCTCGATCAAACTTAATATATACTTGTTTTCAGTTGAAGCAAATTCCCAATTAGCTTTTTTATAATTCAACACTTAAGTATTAAAATATACGAAAAAATAACATAATATAACGAATTCTAAGTGACGTCTATTCTATATCAACAATGCGATGTCAAATACACGTTACTGATTTGGATAAATTAATACTAAAAAATTACGTCATAATGACGAGTCTGTATTGACGTCTAATTAACGTTGCAAAAACGACGTCAAAGTAACGTCATTAATTGGGATAGTGAAGTGCCTGATGAGTAAATCCTAAAAAATCACATCATAATGATGGCACTTTGCTGCTTGGAAATAGAAGACAGAATAGAAGACAGAAAAGAAGAAATTTATGCTGACGCTGCAACCTTAGACATATTGCCTAAACGAAAAATTTACGGTTTTTCTTGAAATAAAGCCTGCTTCTAATACTTACTATCTAAACTAATAGATGGCGAAAGCTTTTGCAATGACTTTGCAACTAAAATATGTCTTTCGATGAAATCATCTATACGGAACACTGCGGCCGTAGAAGATTTCTCAAGGATATCTTACGACTGATCTGACGATTTTCTTTGTTGAATACATCTGAGAATATAAAACTGTGAGGGGTACAATAAGCCTGGACCTACCTGTGGTTTTTAATAGTATATTACACACCGAGGTGGGAAGAGTTTCATTTCTGTCGTGAGATTAGTTAGATCACCGAGACGCGAAGCGTCGAGGTTAACTATTATCTCGAGACAGGAATTAAACTTCCTACCGAGTTTGTATACTTACTATTTTATTTACAACTATCATATTTCGATCAAAGTTAATAAATCTCTGTTTTGTTCTGAACATACCTAAAATATTACATTTAACGACAAATTACCAAGCGCGCGGTTTTCTCAGAATAATCAAGTAGGTAAATATATTGTTACTGTGATTACGGGGTAAACAACTGCCACCAATATAAATAAATGTCAGATAAAGCCGGATATTAATTCGCGAATAATAAATATCAATAAGTATTTTGTTATATTTTAGATCATTGTTGTTTTTTATTGTTTGCCATTAAACATGTATTATAAAATTTGTCAAACACTGGTATTTTTTTTTTATATATAAAAAATAGTCATCTAGAATAGATGAAATGAGGGCGGGAAGTGAGGGCGGGAAGTAGAGGTGTGTAATGTGACACTTCCCAACCTTCAATGACGTTAGTAATGACAACATTACATATATGGTTGTAAATAAACTTTATTTAACTAGATTAATGCTGATAACCTTTGTAATAGTGAGTTTAATTTCACTCAGTTTCTATAATTAAAAAAAAAATGAATAGACGTGTCTATTCTCTTAATTTATAATTATAACAAATATGTATATGCTAAAATTTATAGAATAAATTATTACCATAAGTACAACAGTAACTGCAAGGCTTTTTATTACTTAAGTAGCCCATTGCTCGAAAAATATTTCTCTGAAGATGAAAATTTTATAACATTTTTAATACAGAAATTAATTAATTCATGCTATTCATATTACCATAAACTCGGTAAGAAATCCAATTTGCAGATTATATAAATAGATTGCTTAAAACTATGTGAACTTAAGTAGGAAAATTAGTCTTCCAGGCTGAAAAAACAGCAGTAAATGCCTGAGCCAAAGTTATGCTAAATTACTCTTTTAGGGATAAGAGGATCTGTATCATGACAGTCAGACAGCCCTTTAAGCACTGAAAAGGGTAAAAGTACAATCTAGAATAATATGTGATTGCCAACAGTCCCTCCAGGCCTTGGCAGAACATAACACTCACTCTTGAATGGGAGCGGGGACATGAAGGAGTATTTGGAAATGAGAAAGCAGACCTTCTAGCCAGAAAGGAAACTGAAAAAACTCTAATTTGACCAGAACCCACAAGTGGTATTTCATACCAACTAACGAAACAAATAAATTAAAAATATCATGGGATCTGGTTGGAACTTCCTGGACTTAAACAGCCCAAAATATTCTTAGAGGGTACATCTAAAAGCAGAAAAAATCAACTGCTAGACCTTAGCAGAAGCGAACTAAAGGCCATAATAAAACTCTTTACGGGGCACTGCGGCCTTGGAAGATACCTAAATCTCTTAGGGATATCTGGTGACTCCCTATCTAGAATATGTGAAGAGGAGGACGAAACTCCTATTCACATACTATGGCACTTCGGGGTACAATATCCGGAACTTAGATAAATCGCGAAGGCGCTCATCAGACATATTCTTGAATTCATAAAAAAAAATTAATCCGAAGGGGTAGAAACTGTGAGGGGTACAATAAGCTTAGAGTTTCAGTACGAGTTGGCTTTGAACCACACCCTAATTCAGACAGATTGATAGAATAAGAGATAATTTTTTTCAAACTTTTTCCTAAAATACTAAAATAAAAAAAAACTAATCCAATTGAAAGAAAAACTTGACTCTATGAGAAAAGAAATCAGTTAAAAACTATTTTATTTTTTAGTTTCTGAAATAAAATCATCTGCAATGTATAAAAAGAAGAACAAACTGAGGACAGTTTTATGCATTAAACGTAATTAGAGAATAAACCAAGAATGTGGTTTACAAACGAGTAATGCAAACCGCAAATGTACGCTATCAAATATTGATGAATTAGTAAAATTGTGTGTTATGTAATAGCAGCCTAAATACAATTAAACCTAAAACAAATAAAATGCAATAAACATTTGCTTTTACTACAATTCCGGGCTAATTCTAACCATATTTTATTCATAATAAAACCTAAATCAATCAAAATCAATGTAAAATAACATTTTAAATAATAAATAATGCCACATGTATACATTTTATCAATTCTCTTTTGCACACCTGCATTGCCATTCCTGTTGCTAGTTACATATTGCTATTTTTGTTTTTTGTTTTTGAATGCCAATATTGTGATGATTGTAATTTTGTATTCAGTGTATTGGTGTGTAGAATATCGATGCTATTACCGTTGGTTTAATGGTTTTTATATGTAGGTGGATTTGCGGCACATGGATGAAAAAACCGGAAGTAACGTGGTGGATGTCGGTGTCGATTTGTCGGAGTTCTACATGAGCGTTGAATGGGATATTCTGGAAGTACCTGCTGTAAGGTAAGATATAAGTTTTATGAATATTCTGTTATGGTAATATTATTTAATTATTGAAAGGTAGAAAAGAAAAATTATCATTAAATCTCACAAAGATATTGTTACTTTCTTTTTAGATTTCTTCCGTGTAAATTGTACTTAATAGGTGATTTAGCTTAAATTGCTGATATTGCGTGGATTCATAAATTGACCAGGGCAAATGAATCAGAGTAGCTTGACCGATTCGCGGGCCAAGGTCTACTTTGCGATAAAATGAAAGATATTACAATATGATAACGACAAAAAAAAGTTGAGTTCCACCAAGTTTTTGAGTAACCTGGAAAACTTATCTGATTTGATATGTGCTGTTTAATTGAGTCAGTCTCTGGTACTTAAAGTTATCTGTATGGGTTATGGCAAATAAAAGAAAGTGAGATAATTTAATACATTTAATAAAAAAAATCTGATGTGTCCAACACATGACTTTCCTATCTAGTTATTATAGACTTTTTCCGGTTATTTTGTACAACCTATTGCAGCACCTCTATAAAAGTTTAGAGGATAAACTAAATATATACATTTTCCACATATATCTACCTTAAAACATTTTTCTATAGATATTCATTGAAAACGAAAATACTGAAAAATTTAAATTTAGCATTTTTCCTCCAATTTTTCCATTACGGTCCAGTTTAGAAAAATCATGTATATACAAAAATTATAGAGATCGATATCGCAAACAACTTTTACTCCAACAATTTTTATAAAAATCAGAATTTTGCACATTTTGTCAAATTTCTCGAATATGGACCATTTCAGGAAATTTTAAAATATGCAAAAATTATAGATAATAATATTAGAAGTAACTTTTATTTGAATAATTTTTTTCTCCAAACATAAATAACAGATATACATATTCCATAAAATATAAAAACGGCCTCCCATAAAGTACCCCCCCCCCCCCAGATGTTCTGACTTTGTCCAAAATTTAATCATTTCACGTCAGGCCGAAATAAAACTTAAGTTTAAAATTTAATGCTTCTTTCTTTATCCGTTTTTGAGTTTTCCTAAAATTTCGAAATTTACACGTTTTCTCAAATATCTCGAATACGGTCCATTTTAAAGAAATTATGTATTATATAAAAATTATAGAGAATTGTATTACAAACAACTTTTATTTAAACAATTTTTATAAAAAAATATTTTTTTTACATTTTGTCAAATTTCTCGAATACGGACCATTTAAGGAAAATTTTGTATAGAACAAAAATTATAGATAATAATATAAGAAGTAACTTTTAATTTAAGAATTTTCTTCCCCAAACGTAAATAACAGATATATTCCATAAAATATAAAAATGACAACTCATAAAGTACCCCCCCACATGTTCCGACTATGCTCAAAATCTAATATGTTAATTGGATGATGGAACAAAGCTTAAGTTTAAAATTTGGTGTTTTTATGTATATCGGTTCATGAGTTATGCGACACACACACACACACACACACACACACACACGCGCACACACACACACACACACACACACACACACACACACACACACACACACACACACACACACACACACACACACACACACACACATACACACACACACATACACACACACACATACACACACACACACACACACACACACACACATACATACACACACACACACACACCACACACACCACACACACCACACACACCACACACACCACACACACCACACACACACACCACACACACACACACACACACACACAAACACACACAACACACACAACACACACAACACACACAACACACACAACACACACAACACACACAACACACACAACACACACAACACACACAACACACACAACACACACAACACACACAACACACACAACACACACAACACACACAACACACACAACACACACAACACACAAAACACACAAAACACACATAACACACACAACACACACAACACACACACAACACACACAACACACACAACACACACAACACATACAACACACACAAACACACAGTCACACACAAACACACAAACACACACACACAAACACACACAAACACACACACACACAAACACACACACACAAACACACACACACAAACACACACACAAACACACACACACAAACACACACACACAAACACACACACAGATATAATCGCGAAAATAGTCAAAACGGATTCAGGGGACCTCAAAACGTAAAAATCCGTCGAAAACTCGAGGTCGAAAAAAATCATGATTCCTATACTTTCCTTATATCTGTACACAGATAGGAAAGTAAAAAGTAAAAGATTTAAGTTTTACATATACGAATTATATAGTTAGTTACTGATTTACTCTGAATATCAAATTAAATTGACTGATATATGAATAAATAAATGAATTAATAAAATGTACTGTTAATAAAATGTACTGTTAGGTACTTCGATAAATATTAATTGTGACCATGTGGCATCTTAGTACGGTAAGTACGGTACTTCCCTGTTGTATGTCCGCCTTTAGGTACTTTGATATTTAGGGCTTCTTGTTTCTTAGAACTTCCTGGAGCAACTAGGAGCTTCTTACAGCTTATTGGAGGAGCTTGATTTTATTGAAGCTTCTCCTTAAAGGATCTTAAGCTTCATAGAGTAGCCTCTTCTTGAAGGATCTTAAGCTTCATAGAGGAAGTCTCTTCTTGAAAGAGCTTAAGCTTTATAGAGGAGCTTGGAGCTTCTTAGAGTAGCCTCTTCTTGGAGCCACTGACAGTTATCCCAACGTTAACACACGATAGACACATAAAATATAGATAATTACTAGCAACTCATTTTAATATATTTATTGGCACAGCTAGCATTTTGAGTTCGAACACCAAAAGAAAAGATTAATTCCGAACGAATAGGGTTTTATAAGGACTGGTTGCTCAAAGAATCTCTATGGACTATGAGCCGAACAGCAGATCATGCGCGAACGATGCTTTGTAAAAATCGATAATGGCACGAAAGTTTGACTGATATATGAATGAATAAATGAATTAATAAAATGTACTGTTAGGTACTTCGATAAATAATAATTGTGACCATGTGGCATCTTAGTACGGTAAGTACGGTACTTCCCTGTTGTATGTCCGCCTTTAGGTACTTTGATATTTGGGGCTTCTTGTTTCTTAGAACTTCCTGGAGCAACTAGGCGCTTCTTGTAGGAGCCTGGATCTTCTTACAGCTTATTGGAGGAGCTTGATTTTATTGGAGCTTCTTGAAGGATCTTAAGCTTCATAGAGTAGCCTCTTCTTGAAGGATCTTAAGCTTCATAGAGGAGCTTGGAGCTTCTTAGAGTAGCCTCTTCTTGGAGCCACTGACAGTTATCCCAACGTTAACACATGATAGACACATGAAATATAGATAATTACTAGCAACTCATTTTAATATATTTATCGGCACAGCTAGCACTTTGAGTTCGAACACCAAAAAGAAAGATTAATTCCGAACGAATAGGGTTTTATAAGGCCTGGTTGCTCAAAGAACCTCTATGGACTGTGCGCCGAACAGCAGATCATGCGCGAACGATGCTTTGTAAAAATCGATACGGCGAGCGGTTACGAGGGGTTATAGAGAAGTCGTTGTTCAAAAATAAATTTGAAATTAATTTAAAATTAATTTCACGTAACAATATGTATTTTTTATATAATGCATCGGTTTTAAGGTGTATCATTACATCTGTGTTATCAAAAATAAAAATATTTTTATACTGAATTTATAATTATATTATTATTACAGTCAATAAAATTAGATCAATATATCAGAAGTTATACACCTACAAATATAGATACTCTTTTGAATGGGTTGACTTCACACCGGTTTAAAATCTCCTATAAAATCTATAAAAAGTGCGGTTAATAAGTAAAAGTTTATTAAAAGAGTTATATGAGTATGTGTGGAAAAATTTACACTTTACAGTGACTAAACTAAAGTTTGATTTGGAAGTCTTTGTGAGATGAAAATTGAAAAATTCAATAACTGTAAGTACATTATAAAAATAAATTTAACATACCTGCTATTATAAAAACAAACACCGAGATCGGCTTCAAAAATACGAGGGGAAGTTCATAATTAGGATGGATAAAATAGATGATCAACCTGCTACTACTCAAGACGTCTATAATTTATTAAAAAATATAGATAATAAATTAGCGAAAAAAATTGATGAAGTACAAGAAGAAGTAAGATCACTTAGAATATCAGTAAACGAGGACATCGGTGTGTTAAAAGAAAAAGTTAATTGTCTAGAAGAACAAAATTCATTGCTCAAGGAAAAATTAAAATATATTGAAAGAAAAAACAAACAGAATAGTGTGATAATATATGGTCTTGAGGAACAAGAGGGTGAAAATCAATCCAAACTATTGGAGGAAATTCTAAAACTAATAAATTCAATAATAAAAGTTGAACTAGTACCATTTGAAATAAATAATATTTATCGTATTGGAAAAAACGTAAATACTAGGCGTCCCATCCTAGTTAGTTTTGTAACAACCTTGAAGAAACAAGAAGTTATCAGAAACGGTAAAAGACTTAAAAGTACAGAAATATCAATCAGTGAAGACCTCATAGATGAAGATAGAGAAGAAAGGAAAATTCTAGTGGAAGCTCTGAAGCAAGCAAGAAATCAAAATAAAAAAGCTGTAATTAGAGGAAATAGAATAATTATCGATAGTACTAAATTTTCAGCCACAGATATTTTAAACGACAAACATAAAAATAACTTTGAATTTTCACCGCCACCACAGAGAAAAACTTCAAGTGAACCTACAACTCCATCACTGAAAGAAATTGAATTTGAAAGTGACACAGATATCGAGATCGAGAAACAGAAATTAGAAGACGAAAATAAGAATACAGAAATCGCCAAGAATAACCAAATTCGCCAAGTTAAAGAAGTAAAGGACAATCAACAGAAGACCATCCAAAAAGAAACAATCACGCGAAACGCGAAAACTCTGAAGAATGAACAGGCTA